ACTACCCAAAATTAATAAAAAAAATCTCACAGAACGGTCCAATTTACGCGAACTCGTGGAACAACCCGAGAAAGCTTCATCCACTTTCATCCACCGAGGCACGGGGTTGAAAGTGTAACACCACCAAATTCTTGACTCCGACCTGCTACCGAGAATTTCTTGACAGAAAAACCCATTAACTAATTTTGGCCCGACCAGGGATTCGAACCCGGTACCTTAAGATCAACAGTTGCGTTTACCAACGAGGCAGTCGTAAATATAAGTCGTAATTATAAATGCAAGTTAATCATTTTAATAACACCTTATACAGCTTTACATGGCAATAAGAAAATAATAAACGATGCAATACCATGTATGTCGAACACGTGGATCGTTCTCACCATCATTATAGTTCATCATAAGTCCACTGCTGAACAAAGGAATACCACAAAGTACGGTCCTCAGCCATGGATGAAAATACTAAATAATTGATGGCTGTTGTTAATCGTACGATAATCGTATCATTAAAAAGTAATTATTTATACGATAATTGTGTGAATAAAAAATACTTATGGCGGTTGCTAATTATACGATAATCGTATCATTAAAAATAGTTATTCATACGATAATCGTATAAATAAATAATACTTATTTGTTCTATTATTATTAAAATTTAAAAGTTCAATTCTTTCAATATTACATTTTTTAATTTATTGGAACGAAGTTCCTTACCGGACGGTACGAATTTGGCGGATGGGGGCTAGGCGAGAAAACGTGTAAAATTTTTCCGTCACGACCATTTCTGACGTAGTGTAGACGTATACGACCTTAGCGGCTATAAGGACGCGAGATAGAATAATATCCATCTCCCTCGCACTTTTTCTTATCTTATCTTGCCATGAAAGAAATATTATTTTATTTTAAATGACGCTTCATTTTAACAGACGCTAGTAATTAATTTATTTGTATTTGTTAATCAATAATATAATACGCTTCATCATCATCATCATCATCATTACAGCCTTTCATAAGTCCACTGCTGAACATAGGCCTCCCCCAAGGAATGCCACAAAGCACGGTCCAGAGCCACCTGCACCCATCGACTTCCTGCATGTCTTACCAGGTCGTCACTAATTCGCGTGGGGGGGGGGGGGGGTCAGCACTTCGATATACCGACAGTCAACTTGACACCGCTGAAGGGACTGTAGCACCGCCCAATTTTCGACGGAATCTAAGGCTTTCTCACAGTCCACATATGCAAGGCAAAGTGGCAGATTATACTCCTTTGTCTTCTGTATAATTTGCCCAAGGGTGTGTACGTGGTCCATGGTACTAAAGCCTTTTCAGAAACCGGCTTGTTTGGGGGGCTGGAAGTCGTCAAGTCTGCGTCAGAGACGATTCGTAATGACTCTCGAAAACAGCACGTAGACGCGGCTCAGAAGGGAAATCGGTCTATAGTCCTTCAAGAGAGCGTTATCGCCTTTCTTGAAGAACAAGACCACCGCACTTCTGCTCCACGCCTCCGGAGTAGTGTCACCACTGAGGACGGAATTAAAGAGCTTCTGGAGGACTTCAAGTACCGGTTTTCCACCCGCTTTCAAAATATCCGCTGTAATTCCATCCTCGCCCGGTGACTTTCCGTTTTTAATGTGCTGGAGAGCCATTCTAATCTCGCTCAGATTGACTGACGTCCGGGATATCTTCGGAATAGTGTCGGATAAGACTCGCTCTTGGATCGTTACTCACACTTGCGTGTGGCTCCAACAATGACGTGTACACCTGCCCATAGAACATCGCAATCTCACTCAAAATCTCAGGTTTCCCGGAAACGATGCTGTCACATTCGGTCTTCAGCTTTGACAGTTAGTTCTTTCTGGCAGACAGATCTCTGGCAAAGACTTTGGAGCCTTGGTTCCGCTTGATAGCTTCTTCAATACAAGCTGTGTTAAAGTTGCGTAAGTCTCGCCGCATGCATTTGGAGATCGATCTGTTCAGTTGCCTGTATGCTGTCAAATCTGTTGGAGAATGTAGCTTCATCTCCCGTCTAACAGCCATGAGATTAAGAGTGTGATCGGAGAGTTATTGTGATCTTCTGCGGCGGCTCTTGCAGAACTTAGCTCCGACCGCATGGCCAGTTTCCACGAGCTTGTCATTCAAATAGTCCACACAGTCTTCTAGACACTGAAAACGGTTTTGTAACTCGAGCTGAAAGGTTTCGGGACTTTGGAACTGAGCACGAGGGGGACGAAGCGTTGACTTCATTAAACGAGACCTCTCCAACTTAACGTTTAGGTTCAGTGTGCCTCTAACCATTCGGTGATCGCTACCAGTTTTCACCCTCGCGATCACGGAGACATCACTGAACAGTTGTCGTCTGGTCGCCATAATGAAGTCAATCTCATTTTTTGTCGAACCGTCGAGGCTCGACCAGGTCCGCTTCCTGCGGGGCCGCTTCTGGAAGAAATAGTTAATCATAAAGAGACCCTCTTTCTCCATGAATTCGGCCAGCTACTGGCTCCTTGGGTTCCGTTGCCCTATTCCAAATTTCCCTAATTTCAGCTCACCGTTCTCTCTTGTGCCTAGTTTTGCGTTGAAGTCTCCCATTAACACCGTTTAGTGGGTTTTGGAGGAATGCATGGCTTTAGAGATATCCTCATACATTTCCTCCACCTCCTCATCGGGGTGTGCCGAAGTTGGTGCATAAACCTGTATGACCTTCAGCGAATACCGTTTGGTGATTCTGAGTATAAGGTAATACTATATACCTTATACTATAATAAGGTATAACCCTCGTAGACACACTATCAATGTTTACAACGTTGTTAACGAGGGACTTGTGGACGATAAATCCGACACCTCCTTGGGACAGATGTTCGCCCTCCCGGTGATAGAGCAAGTTGCCGGATTCGAGAATTACCGTGTCCTACCCCTCTCTTCGGACCTCGGATAATCCTATAATATGCCAGCGTAACTTGTCTATCCCTTCTTTCAGCTCCACGATTTTCTCGTCAGTCCTCAGGGTGCGTGCGTTGTATGTTGCCAGGTCGAGTCGTCTTAGGTGCCAACCGAACCTCCACCGGAGATTCTTAGCACGCCCTGCCCCGCCGTTACCATGGTCGCCACCGTAGCCAGGAATAGCGGGGCTGCCGGGGATTGGGGGCCGTCTGTTTGTTATTCTCATCATGTGTCATCATGGCAACCGTAGTTTTTTTATTGTAATTTTACTGTTATCAGGAAGATGCTGCTGCCCATCTTCTGCCTGTTTCCCTTTGTCGCCTTTTACGACACCCACGGGAAGATATGGGGTAGTGGATATTCTTAACCACCACTACACGGCCCGGCATAATACGCTTATCAATAATAATATACTACGAAAGGAACTTTGTTCCAACCGAGTGTTCCACGACACTCATGCATGTTTTTTATGGTTAACTATAATGTACGCTCGAGGGCCACTCCAGCCGCACCTTTTACCTGATGTCACTGATATTGCGGTTATTTTATTGAATGGCCTATAATAAGTATTAAAAATATCTTTTATATTTATTTTTTAAATTTAAATTATACAGGACGAATGAAAATAAATAAATCAAACGAAAATCGTATAAATAAGAAAAAGTTAATCATACGATTATCGTATGAATAGTCACTTCCATAATGATTTTTTTGTAATCTAACATCTTTTTTAAATAGAATAAGGGTGGAAAACGAGCACGCAGTCCACCTGATGGTAAGTGGTTGCTGTGGCCTATAGACATCTACATCTATCTTCGTTTGCGAGTCAAAATGCAGATGCGTTGTCACCTTGTCACCCGTGAGGACTAAAATGGAATGCCTCTTTTCAAGTAAAATGGATCTCCAGTTCTCTACACTCACCATACGAAACACAGAAGCATTAAGCTGCTATTTGACGCTGGTATTCTGTGAGAGCGTGGTCCTTCCCCGGTCGAGCTGAACCATTCGTGCTATAACTATACTATAAATATAGCTGCATCATGGCTCTACCACGTATGATGCGTTGCCTAAGTTAGCTGTATATTTTTAGTGATTTGGTAATCATAACTGTATCACGTTAGTTAGTTATACCTATTTATGGTTCCATATCTCAAAATGAAAATATAGACTCCTTAATTTTATTTTTTTTATAGGAAAAGGGTAACAAACGAGCGCACAGTCCACCTGATGGTATGTGGTTGCTGCGGCCCATAAACATCTACACCTATCCTCGATTACGAATCAAAATGCTGAGGACTAAGATAGAATGCCTCATTTCCAGTAAAAAGGGTCCCCGGTTCTCTACACTCACCATACGAAATACAGCAGTGTTAAGCTGCTATTTTACGCTGGTATTCTTGGAAAGTGTGGTTTTTCCCCGGTCGAGCCGACCCAATCGTGCTACAACTATACTACCAATATAGCTACAGCATGGCTCTACGACGTAAAAAAATGACCATGGCAAAGATTTTTCCACTGCAACCTTACATATATTTATGAATTTACTATTATTTATTCTGTGCTGATACAGAGCTATAATATCATATAAATTGATATTACTATCTTTGTTAATTTACTGCATTCGTGTACTGGTATAGATAACAGGCAAAAATCGCCTAGACTCGATAACAGTGATGGATGAACTAAGATACGTAGGTCACTCAATAAGTTTTGAGATATACAAAAAGTATTCTAGATACTATTAATATTTATTTTACATCTTTTCAAAATATTCTCCATCATGCTCTATACAAAGTTCCATTCGCCTAAACCAACTCTGAAAACACTTTTGCCAGTCTTGATCTGACAGGTCGGAAATCGCTTCTTCGTAAATTCGTTCGTCCGTTATTAGCCGGAACAAATAGACAGACAGAAATAAAAAAAAAGGTTTTTTGTTATAAGTACCGTATGTAATTTCATATGCATTTAGTAAAAAAACTGTTATTATTTATTTATTTGTATTATTTAAATTCATTGATATAGAAATCACTGTTTAAATCCTTAAATTATGACATTTACTTTTACAGACGACCAGTGGCTTGTTGCATTTCTTCGTGGATGCAAATTCAGTTTAGAGAGAACGAAAGAAAAGCTAGACCTGTTTTATACAGTTCGTAATACTTCTCAAGAACTTTTCAGGATTAAGCATACGGATCCAACTTTTAATGAGATTTTAGAGATGGGGTAAGAAATACGCGTGAGAAAGATTCCAATATATAATATAAGCGTTTTTTGTACAGTATTATTGAAAATATGTTTTTTCTAGTGCCTATTTAATATTACCGAAAGTATCCAGTCCCACATCTCCTCGCGTTGCAATAATAAGACCTGGAAGCTACGATCCGGAAAAATATACAATCTCCGACGTTATAGCCGTAAATAATATTTTACAAAAGGTATTCCCATTAAATAAAGTATTTTATTTCTGTCTCTTTCTTTAATTTACTGTTAATTTATAAAGAATAACTTAGTTAATTTGACTTTAAGATTTTGTGTATGGATGACGACAACATGGTTGTAGCTGGCTTACATACCATTTTGGATCTTGAAGGCGTGACTATGGGGCATTTTTTACAAATGACCCCGATGCTAATGAAAAAAATGGTGGTTCTTACGCAGGTAGGATTTATTTTTATATATTATGTAACAACGAATAACTCTATTTGATTTTCTCTCTTATTTTAATTTAATAATAAATTATTCCTTAAATTTGTGATGTCGAGAAGAGTAAGAGAATCAGCCGCCCAGTTTCTTCCCAAGATGTCATAAGAGACGACTATATTAGACCAGAAAAACCTCTTACCCTTAATAAATTGTGGTGTACCATCTCGTATATGATAGAAACCCGAAACGGTAACGAGCAGCCCTATCTTTCCAATAATAGATCTTCTATGTCCAGCAGTAACCTATTAATTTGTTATTTTATAGGAAATACATTTAAATAATTTTTGGATTCATACTTCAAAGTCGCTGAGATGTCAAACATGTATGTCTTCCACTCTCTATTACTACTAATTATATTTAAAAGTTGTTTTAAAAAAAATACATTTTTTTATAGGAGGGAAGCAAACGAGCATGCGGCTCACCTGATGGTAAGTGACTACTGCAACACCAGAGGAAGTGCAGAGGCGTTGCCGGCCTTTTAAAAAGGATATGGTGATTACATAATTTTCTTCTGTTTTGCTTAACATTTTGTAAGTAATATAAACGAGTGTTTTCTAAAATTATTAATGCAAAGTGATTATCGTAGATATAAGTATATAAAATAAAATTGTATAATAAGTGTGTCAAAGTAGAGCGAACTATTTTATAAACTTTTAAGCTAATTAATTAAAACATGTTATTTAGTGGCACGTAAAGCATATACAAAAATAAAACGTACTAAAATTAACATAATATAAAAAATTTACATAGGTGATTAACAAGAGATACAGTAATAAAAGATAACAAAAATACATTGTAAAACCTTACATATTCTTAATCTATAATTATAAAATAATAAAAATTCAGACATTCTAGGTAATTTTCTCAGTAGTCTTACTTACTACTAGGTACTAGGTAAGACTACCTCGATATAAGACGCCATAAATATTATAATAAACTGTTAATCAAATGTAAGTTTGAGGGAGGTTATAAATACTCATACGAGTACATAGTCTGATTATAATATATATTTTCAGGATGCAATGCCAGTGCGTATGAAGGGAACACATTATATAAACGCGCCAAAAGGCTTCGAAACTATCTTCAATGCCATTAAAAATCTGTTAAATGAGAAAAATCAGACCAGAGTAAATATATTTTATGTTTGTTCTATAAATAAAAAAAGCTTTAATAAAAATAATATCAATTTTTAATCTTATACTTATGTGTTTGTTCTAGCTTTACGTTTATAACAAAAACTTTGAAGAAATTTATAAATATATACCTAAAGATATATTACCTACTGAGTACGGAGGTGATGGTGGTTCAATTAAGGAGATAGCAGGTAACCGTTTTGTTCTTAATTTCTGAAAACGAATATAATAGAAGTCGTAAGTTGTTTAGTAAGTGGATTATGGTTTGTGACCGTATTTTAAAAGGATATCCGGACGGCGTTTAATCTATTCAAGTTTATTTCTCCGTTGTTCTCTGGATAATGACACCAGAGGAAATATTTTATTACGATGCCCTCTAAACCTCCCACCGCCATGTCACTATATTTTGTTTTTCTTCCATATATTAACGATTTAATAATTAGACACCATAATAAAACTGCCCAGTGGTGGTTTACCGTTTTTAGACATCCATTAAGCAATTTAAAACGAATATAAAAATTAAAGAAAGATACCATGTCGGTATCTTTCTTTAATTTTTAGCCACAATCCTTCTTATATTATCTATGAAAAAAAAAATATTCGATCCAGTTTTCGAGGAGGAAACAGGGAAATACGGGATAACAATGTCGCAATTTGTTTTTCTTTCGCTAATCAAAATAAATCCGTGCTGCAATAGTTTCTCGCGGTCGTTTAGGTATTTCGCGGCAGCAATAGGTCGTTTTCTCTCTCTCTCTTAAGGTTGTAGTCTTGTAGTACAATATCTTTTCATAAAGATTATTTTCCAGTTTTTAAACAATTTGAATAATAGTAAATGTCTTATTACTACTAAATTATTATCAACCAATAAGTTAATTAGGTACTCATAACTTCAAGTAATACTCGTATTTCTGTGGTAATATAAATTGTCGCAGTTAAAGTTGTTGTAATTACCTAAATGGTATATTTAACTAGCAAACTATTTTATTTCTAAAATGAAAATGTTTTATAGAGTACTGGAAGAAAAAGGTACAGGAATATAGAGATTTTCTAGACGAAGATTTGCAATATGGGACCGACGAATCGAAACGACCTGGCAAGCCGAGAACTGCCGAAGATCTCTATGGACTTGAGGGCTCCTTCAGACAATTGCAGTTTGATTGAAAATAATTTTCGCCTTTTGCGAATTTTTGTTCACAATTTATTGAATAATTGTCTTGAAATGTTTCTTTTTTAGTATTTAACTAACTAAATGACTTTTTTTTAATTAAGTATATCAAACCCTATTTTATGTAAGTTAATAAATGATTTGACACAACACGATTGTAGTGTTAATTAAAAAACAATAAATGAAAGCGTTCAACTTTAGTTCTTTTAAACATAAATATTTTTTCGTTGTGAGTGTAAGTACATGTATGAAGCTTACCGTGTAATGACAGCGTAAGAATATTCACTACCCGTAGCGCGCTATGCGTGTCGTAAGAGGCGACAGAGCGTAACTAAACCAGAGGATGGCAGTAGTACTTTCCTGATACATAAACAATAAAAAACTACGGTCGTGAACCCGCTTGAAAAGCGAGGTAACTATGGCAAATAATATGAATCAATTTGGGGAGGCCTATAGTAAGCAATGAACTTCTAAAGGGATGATGATGATGATATTTTATATTCATGCAAAAAGCCTCTTTAATAAGTTTACGTCATCATTTTATTAATTATACTAAATTGCTAATACTACTGAATCTTATAAACAATATAGACCAATAAGCAGCGAGATTTCTCGCGAGTCGAAGTGAACATGTTACAACTAGTCGCAGGAAACGCTTGATAATCTGTTGCGAGTTCGCTTGCGCTTGTAGTAGTTTATATCTGCAAGCTACTATCTGACAGACTGTCGGATAATTCTAGCAGAAGTTTAATTGTAGGTGGAAACGAGGCCCCAGGCATAGGTAAGTAAAGTAAGTTACAGCCTATTTATTATGATGTAAACCTGCCGAGTACAGGCATCGTCTTATTCTGTTACTTCTGAAAGGTTATGGAGCAAATATCTCACAGAATACCAGCGTAAAATAGCAGCTTAATGCCGGAGAACCGGATACCCATTTTACTGAAAAAGAGGCATTCTATCTTAGTCCTCACAGCTGCCAACGCATCTGCATTTTAATTCGCAAACGAAGATAGATGTAGATGTCTATGGGCCACAGCAACCACTTACCATCAGGTGGACTGGACAGGATTCTATATAAAATAAATAAAATCTCCTGTGCCAACCCTATCAAAATGTGTAAAAAATTTGACAGCTCCTTAGAAGCTTTGCCTCTGTACAGTTTCTTTAGTTATGTGGTCAGGCCAAGGTGAGTAATATTTTTTCCCTTTGATTTTCGAATGGAACCTATACGGCATTAATAACAGCGCCATTTCATTAAACTCGTGGAGAACTACGTAGGTTACGCAGGTTGATATAGTACTTGACAAACCGTGTAGATGGCGCTGTTACAGAATTATTTTTATGGAAAAAAAACAACATAGTATTTTAAAATCAGTAGGTATAGGAATACTCCCATTTTAGAGGTTTTCAAATGAATTGACAACTTTAAGGGAAAAGTCTGGTAAACAAATATTATAAATGAAATAATTTTGTAACAGCGCCATCTACACGATCTGTCAAGTACTACATCGACCTGCGAAGCCGACGTACCAAGGTGCGTTCGTAGCTCGACGACAGAAGAGGTTTTGAACTACTTGGAGTTCATTAATAATTTTAGGGTCAGCGTGGGCAAAAATGGGGCCCGCGTAGGATATGACTGGTCGTATACAGACCTTATAAAGGGTACGCTTGTTTCTGAGGGACATTTTACTGTGTCGGCCCAACATACTGTTGAGCCTACCCAGGTAAAAACGTGCGTGACGGGTTACTCTTTTGACGTGGGACCTGAAAGTGAGCCTCGTGTCAAGGGTGACGCCTAAATATTTGGATAATAAATGTTAGAAAGAACTGGATATTATATACTACACAAAGATAGTTATAAATATTAGAAAGGGATAGCACCAGCCTCCTATATGGATTTGGGGGTCGTGTAGAAATGAGTTGTTCAACTTGTATGGGTAATTAGCATCGTTGAAACATATATTCTCAAAATATATTCTTTTTAATAGGTTTTTTAAATGTCTTGTAAAGTAACGTCACAGATACTACTACAATAGGGATATCATTTATCTTGTAAATCAGACGATGCGAGTGTACTTACTGTCGTATTTGGCATAGTATAAAGGGACCAAAGATGACCACTTGACATTTCTATTTCCACGCATGAATTACTTACAACATCTTCATCAATAGCTTTATCTCTTTTGCCTTATTTTTTTATAGAATAAGAGTGACAAACGAGCACACAGTCTACCTGATGGTTGCTGTGACCCATAGACATCTACATTTTTCAATAGCTTTGTCTCTTTTTGCCTTATTTTTTTATAGAATAAGGGTGACAAACGAGTACACAGTCCACCTGATGGTTGCTGTAACCCATAGAATCCTCAATAAAGAATCGAAATGCAGATGCGTCGTCACCCGTGAGGACTATGATGGAATGCCTCTTTTCCAGTAAAATAGGGCTCTGGTTCTCTACACTCACCATACGAAATACAGCAGTGTCAAGCTGCCATTTACGCTGGTATTCTGTGAGAGCGTGGTCCTTCTCCGGTCGAGCCGACCCATTCGTGCTACAACCTACTAATATAGCTGCAGCATGGCTCTATCACGTATTAATTATTTGAAAATTGATATAAAAAAAGCGAAACAAGTATATGACTCAATTAATAAAAAATTGTAGGTTCTGTCTATGCATACGTATATATGTAATTACAGGTATCAGTTGATTTTTACATTTAAAAAAAAATAATTCACATCTATAATGCAATCTAGGGTAACGTCGTCAAAACAATGACGAGATGGCACTATGATGCCGCCAAATGTTTCGACCATCACCATTCTAAAAATATATTTAGGAACCAGTAACTAAAGTGAGAATGCTCTAAATGACCCACAAACATTGGCATCGAGATACGTTTTGTGATGCATATAAGTATCGCATTTCTTTAAATTCTTAAGTTGGCGTTTATATGTGATAATTTAAAACATTTAGCTATTTGTTTTGGGTTCTCGTCAGATTAGGATACATAAATACTGTGAAATTGAATGAATACATCAATAACATAAGAGTTTTATCATAATTATATTCATTATTTATCGTCCCTTTCCCACTCCTTATCCTAAATAGTCGGTGAAAAGAGATAGCATTCGCTGGAACTAGAAGATTCAATTTATCTCAATACGAGTTACTTTGGACACCGCCCTCATTAACCCGCTGTTAATATAATCAAGCTCCGCGCAATTGTGAACTGTTTGTGTGAATGATATTTAGAAGACTATTGTCGAGTGAGTAGTGTGTATACAAGAGTAAAGACCAGCAGCCACATAGAAGAGATCTGAGAGACCGGGTAAGTCACCGACTATTCACGACCTTTTGCACCACCTATTTTTGGTCCTTCGATCCTGAATCCCGTTTATATAATTATATTTAAAACACTAGTACTTTTACTACTACTTAAAAAAAAAAAACAAAAAAAGTTCACGTTCACGGAGAAACATCGGCCGCTCAATCATTGACATAGGTACACATTACATATGTATACGTAATTATATGCCTTATAATTTTATTTCTCTTTATCATTAATATAAACATATATTTAATCGTGATGTTTATTCACTTTAAACCGTCTTGTTATAAACGGCAGTTCAGTTTAGCAAGTTATTTTGAGTTGCTTACACCCTATTATAGACATTACAAGTGTACACTGTTAACATTGCTATCGCACGCATTTATCATCAATTTTATCCAAGTGGACAGTCGGCAAAGAATTCCTCATTTTATTGTGGTTTGCTTTTTCTAAAGTACGAAACGCCAGCTCCATCACTTACTGCTTCGGAAATGGAAGTTTTAATGTTAACCGTTAAACATGAAAGGTTATTTCAATTATTATAAACCTATCCTTGGATATTACTGACGAAAAAATGAAAAATACATTTCTTATTCGCACGGAATCACTAGAAAAAGTACGTTCAGAATTTATTGAGTTTATGTGGCAACACTTCTCTGACTCACACAGAATTATAAAATAGGTGACAGTTTGTTTTTCTATGTGATATATCTACCTTTTTTTACTTCATATGACGTTGCTATGTAAAATTTGTCGAAACTTAGTAAACTTGAGTAAAATACACAACAAGCACAAATTTCAAATAATTTAAATAAAAATTTTGACATTTTGAGTAGAATACTTCCCACTTTACAACTTATGAGTTCTGGATGGACCACCAAAAAAAAAATGGGTCTATGGGTAAAAATCTATGAAAATTTGAATGCATTTATTTATAATAATAATAATTTGACAAACGTGGAAAAAGTTTAGTACTTGATAGTCTATCGGGCAAAGCCCTAACGGTTTTGCATTGGTTGCCTGGCGCCAATTGTTGACATAATACGGGACGCTTTAAAGAAGAGGTACCAAAATGTTAGGAACATGAACATCATGAAATAATCGACCAACACGAGTCAACATGAACATCGCTTTGGATCATGAAATAATCGACCTGTAATATGGGATATCTTTAATGCATTTTATAGAGACAGATATGCTCATCAACAATGAATTACTCTGTATTCCCATTTTAAATCGAGTTTATTTCTTGTGGATACACGAAACTAGACCGATAAGCAGCGTCGCGAGTCAAGATGAAAATTTTTAGACTTGCAATCAATTGCACTAGCAACTACTCGCAGGAAACGCTTGACAAAATGTCGCGAGTGCGCTTGCTACGTAGTTTACATCTGCAAGCTACTGTATGACAGACTGTCAGACACTTCTTGCAGAAGTTTTCTTGCAGGTAGAAACGCGGCCTCAGGCATAGGTAGCTAAAGTAATAGTAGTTACAGCCTATTTATTATTATTTTACTCAGCCGAGCACAGGCCTTGGGCCAAGGTTATGGAGCACAATTCCGTCGAGCTGCTCCCGTGCATGTTGATAGAACTTTACAACAACCAGGAAATATTTTATTTCAAAAGCATACAGCTATCATTATGATGTTTTGTTTCATCGCCGGTAT